GTTACTCAACAAGTCATAAACTCAAAGTGCTTTGCATACTCATATTTCAAGTTGTCGTTTGACGTGAAAGTTGACATAGGTCTCATGCCTAACCCCCAGTTCCTAAGCAACTAGGAACAGTGGAGTAGAAATTAATAAACTCTTATGTATTCGCTTCTTCTTTTTTTTCTCTCTCTCTTTTTTTTTTTTTTTTGGTGCTTTTTAGGTGCTACTAAGTTAATTCCTTGATTCTAATTAGACCCACTCCTAAAAAAAATACCCTAATTTCTAAAAAAACAAAAGAAGTATGTCATGCAAATATGAATGCAAACTAATGTAAGAATGGACATCTAAAAGTTATTCTCTCCCCCAAAGTTAAATAAAACATTGTCCTCAATGTAAAATAAAAGTAAGAGAAAAGAGTAACTTCCCAGGTTTTGCACTTGAAGACTCAAAATTTAAGTTCTAAAGTTGAGTTGTCTTCATTTAGAGGAGACTTCTAGCATGTGAATTTCCATAATCTTGTCCCCCAAACTTGTTCAATGACCTGGCCAAAATCAAAGAACAACAATTTATGCATTAACCTATGCCATAAAGAGAAAATGATTTAAAAAAAAAAAATCTAAACTATTAAAATAAAAGACAAAGAAATAAAAGAAAAGAAAATTTCATGGTTGGGTTGCCTCCCAAGAAACACTTAATTTATAGTCATTAGCTAGACTTTCTACCATTCCAAGGTGGTTTTGGATCAAGTTGTAGGGCATGTCCTCTCATTTTCTTAAATTTTGGCTTTCTTGCCCTTAAGTTGAATCCACCATAAGATTTTCTCCAATGACTATTCTATGGTGGTTTTTCTGTAAAATCTCATCAATCATATCAATAACAAAATAATCATTAAAATCAAATTTGGTTAAAGGAGACTTCCCATTGAACACTTCAAATGACGCTTGAGCTTTTTCTTCTTCTTCCTTAGGGACATCCTCTTGCTTAGTTTCTATAGTTATGCTTTCCACTTCTTCAAGTTGTCCTTCAATCTCCAAGGGTAAGGTGTTTACCTTTTCTTCTTGATTTTTCATTGTTGCACTAAGTAACTCACCTTGTATCTCTTTAGCAACTAAGTTGAGCACATGACTTGATTGGATCTCTAGATTTTTATCCAAACATGTCTCCTCTTCTTGAGCTTGAAACCTTGATTGTGGTTCCAATATATCTTCATTATTCCATGAGGAATTTGAATAATTTATCCAATCAAAGTTGCATGTATTGGGATAAGAATTATACTGCTGGCTATAAAAATCAATATACTTGTTAGATCGTTTAAAATGGCAATCAGAACTAAAATGGTTGAATCCACACCGTTGACTAGTGATATTTAATCGTTCTATTAGAGCCTTCTTTAATTTGATCCTTTCAATGATTGCTTGAAATCGTTCAAGTTCATCATCTTCAATTTTTGCATCCCAATTGATAGTTATTGCTTCAACTTGTGCCCTTATCTCTGGTGCAAGCCATTGATAATTCACATCAGTGTCTATGACAACTCGATCCATAATTAACCTACAAAAACAAAAAACAAAAGAAACAAAAAAAATCAAAGTAAAGAAATAAAAGAAAAGAAAACGTTCAAATTAAATCTAAAATTAACCAACTTCAATATTAATTAAATCAACAATCCCCTGCAACTACACCAAAAACTTGATGCACTAAAATCACCCTAACAAGTGTACTAGTCACTCCAAGTAATATAATAATGAAAAGAGTATCGAACCCACGAGAATTGTGTCTAATTATGTACTAAAATAATTAATCTAAATTTATTCGAACAATCGAAAAGAAAGAAACTTTAATTAAAAATAATAAAAAGAAAATAATGATTAAAATAAAACTAATAAAGATATGAGGTGCTAAGGCTTCGACTTCACCATAATCAATCAATATAAATTTTGGATTAATATACTTCCAAAACCAATTTGTGAAGTGTTATTGCATGTGATAATGGATTTCCCTAAATTAATTAACTAGTTTTCTCAAGTCAAGTTAATCCTTCACTTATTTGTTAAATTAGTTATATCTCTATGTAATTTTAAACAAATTAATGAGTATTAAATTATATGGAAACCTCTAGCTTAAGAAGGGAGAGCTCTTAACTCTTTTCTCTTCCTCCACTATCATATGTGAGCTAATTATCTCGTCTCATAATCTAACACATGGTTTATATTATTATTGGTCTAATTTATGCAATTTTTTCTCAAGTTCATGCATAAATTGCTAAATCAATTGAAAGATGATCAGGCTTTCAATGCATTAAACTCAATAACATAAATTCATCATGCAAATAACTTTAATTGAAAATATAAAAATCACAAAATCTATATTAAATTGATTAGGCTACATCATAACCTTAATAAAATAAATTAGTTCATAATAAAAATAATAAAATCTGAAGTCATAGTTTTGAACATAAAAATATCTAAGGAAAAACAAAACTTAATTTGAGATGATTGAAATCCTTGATTTTTTATTGTTGATGGATCATCTATATTGACTTCCAAAAATGCCCAAATGAGGGTTGTACCAGCCTCCTCCTCCAGCTCTTTAATTCTGAATTTGGATGAGTTTTTATAAGATTTTAAAAACCCTAATTTGAATAGAGATGAGACCCACACCCATAATAATAAATTAACCACGGATTTTGTGAAAATCGCGTAAGGGATCAACACCTTCAACAAGATACCGACACCTTCTGTTCAACACACAACAACATCTGTAATGGTAAAATGACAGTCTTGGTCCCTGACTTCTGGATTCTATACAACTTAATCCTCAAAGTTTTTATCTTTGCAATTTTCTCCTAAGAATTATGATTTCTTCCAATTAAGTCCTTTCCTACACAAAAAATGAAAATTATGTAAAATTAAATAAAATCCCATAAAACTCATCCAAATATCAATAATATCAAGGTGAAAATTCCACATTAATATGTATATAAATTCAACTCATCAATTTTCTCTAGGATGTTGATAACAACTTTATTGGATGCCTCCGTTTACCCATTTACTTGTGCATAATGTGGAGTTAAGTTAAGCAAGCAAAGTCTCATGTCTTTTGTAAAAGCCTCTACTTAAGATCCAACAAAGGCAGTACCTTAATCAAAAGTGATATTCTCTGGAAGGCTAAACCTATGGATTAGATCCTTTTTTATAAACTTGATGACATCTCCTTGCTTAACCTTCTTCATAGGCCTTGCCTCCATCCACTTAGTAAAATAATCCATTGCAACGATTATGAAAGAGTGACCTTTAGAAAAAGGTGGATAAATTTTCCCAATTTAATCAATTACCCAACCATGGAAAGGCTATGGCTTGACAATAAGATGTAATTAAGAAGCTAGCACTTGCTGTATAGGACCATGTAGGTGACAAGCTCTACAACCCTTTGCAGAACTAATGCAATCCTTAAGAATAGGTGACCAAAAAAAACCATGCCTTCAAATTAGCCATCTCATCTTAATCCCTCCATGATGAGCATCGCAAATACTAGTATGAATATTTGACATCACATTGCAACTTTCATTAGGACTAAGACAGTGCAACAATAATTCATCTTTCTTGTATGATACAAGACATCTTCCAATAATACATGGTTTAAAGCTTTGCATCCTTGCTATCCTTGATATTTTAGAATTAGGATTCCTTAAATATTCCATTATTAGGTGTCTCTAGTCTGTTTGTGTGACATCTAGTGAGTATGCCTTCACCACCATCCCTCTTTGATGAATTGAAAGCAGCATACATTTTTTAAGGATAATTACTTTCTCCAAGATGCCTTTAAACATTTTCACACTTGAGCAATCTGTGCAAGTTCATTTACTTCAAGATTCATGTTGCGAAGAGCATGGTTCAAGGAGACATCATCAAATTCTTCCAATAACTGGATAGTAGTGGCAAAATATTGAGACAAAACCACACTTGTACAATTGTATACGCCACTCGATTGCTTAAGAACAAACTAAGAATCACCCACAATTTCAACCAATGGCACCTTTAATTCTACCAACAATTCAAGGTCAATTACCAAAGCTTCATATTTTGCTTGGTTATTGGTGCATTCAAAATCCAACTAAGAATACCATTGGGTTTTTATGCCATATGGAGAAAACAATAACAATTCTAGTCCTAAAGGCTTGATCAGTCCTAGACCCATAAAAAACAAGCCTCTGAAGGACCAAGTTAATAGAAAAGAGATTGACTTTCTTGTCTTCATTAGTGTTAACATCTGAATAAAAATGGTCTGCTAAGAAGTCTGCTAAAGCCTATCCTTTAATAGCCTTCTGAGGCAAATATCTTAGATTAAATTTGATAAGCATAAAAATCCACTTATCAATGTGGTCTCTTAAGATAGGCTGCGACAACATATATTTTATGACATTAGTTTTTGAAACAACAAACACCTCCAAATACAACAAATGGTGCCTCAATTTTATTGCAACAAAAAACAAAGCCAAACAAAAATTTTCAATTCAAGAATATTTCACTTCAATTGAATTTTAAGCTCTACTCAAATAATAAACAGTTTATTCTTGTTTATTGTTATTCCCTTAAATTTGTAAACAACCAATTGATTCATTTGCAATGGATATATATAGTAGTAATGGTTTATTCTTAATTAGAGGAACCAACAGAGGCAACTAGGTATTCTTTGATGATATCAAAAGTGACTTGGTGCTACCCCTCCCATTTAAAATTTGCATTAGGCTGCAAATTCAAAAAAGGTGAAAAGACACAAGTCTTCCTTACCAAGTTAAAGATAAACCTCTTTAGGAATTAACCTAACCAAGGAACCTTTGCAATTCCTTTTTATTATGTGGTGGCTGTGCTTCAATTATGGCCCTTGCTTTGTTTTTGTTCACATCTAGACTTCGTTCATGAACTAGAAAACCCAAAAAGTTTCCTACAATGATGTCAAAAGCACACTTAAGAAGATTCATCTTCAAACCATGTTGTCACATCCTTTCAAAAGCTTTCCTCAAGTGCTTAAATGTTCTTCCTTCTCCATGGATTTGACAACAACATCATCTATATAAATCTCCATGAAGTGGCCAATCATGTCATGGAAAATTGCATTCATGGCCTACTAGTATGTAGTTGTCATAACCCGATTTTTCATTCAGCTTATTTAAGCTTTTCATATAAAAAAAAAAAACAAAATATATATATTAATCACAAAAATTAATTAAAAAAATCAAAAAAATCAAAAATTATGAAAATATGACAATCTCTCTTTTCTTTAACTAATACATCTTCATTTTTCTTTCAGGTGCAAAAAGGGGAAATTCAAGAAGGAAATGGGAAAGGAAACTCGAGAAAGGACTCAATTGAAGAAATCAAAAGGTGGAGGGGTGAAGTTCATCAAAATGAATTTATAAGTCCAACCCAATTACCTAAAAGCCCAAAACCCAAAACCCATTTAAGCCAAAACCCGAAAAAAAAGGGGGAAATAAAGAAATTGGATCTGGAAACTTCTTCCCCAATCCCACACACCCGAACCTTGCCCTGCTCCACGCCCCTTTGCTCGCCTGCGCCCCTGCACTGCCGCCCCCCCCACACACCGCGAACCAGCCCTGCTCAACGCCCCCTGCTCTGCACCGATCCTGCTCCACGCCCCCTGCTCTGCACCGATCCTGCTCCACGCCCTCGCCTGCACCAACCCTGCTGCCGCCAACCTGCGCCTCTGCCATCATTGGCCATCATGCTCCTACACCCCCCTTGTGCATGCCTACGTTCCCTTGCCCTTGCACGCCTGCACCCTCCTCTGCGCCCCCTGTTGCTGCACGCCTGCGCCTCTACCGCTGCACCGTTGCTTGCACGCCTGCACTCTGTGCCAGCATCATGACCCTGCACCGAGCCTTGCTGCACCCCTGCTGCTCTGCCTCTGCACGCTACAGCAGCTCCAGACAAATTAGCATTATTATTGATTGACAGAGCAAGGCTTTTTTATTATTGTTATCTTTATTTTTATCATTTATTCGGGTATATATATAGAGATAAATCAGATTGAAAAGGGGGGTTCTTTGGTTGATTTCTGGATCTGATTTTTGAACTCTCGTCTGGGTTTTCGAAGAGTAGAAAAGGGAGAGTTTTTTTGGAGTTTGATTTTGGGGACTTTGCTGGTTGATTTTCGGGTTCCTTTTGGAGCTGAGAGGGGTCTTTTGTTTGGTGGTTCTGGTGTTGACGGTTGAGGAGTCTTTTTTTTTTTGTTTTTTTTTTTTGTGGTTCTGGTGTTGCCGGCGGAGGAAAGGAAAAGTTTTCTGTTGAAAGAGGGCTCGGTTTTTGTACCGGAGGTTAACGGTGACTGAAAAAAGGGCTTATTTGCTGTGTCTGCTCTGTTTAGGTAAATTTTTAAGCAGAGGGGTCTTCTGGGAACGGTGGTGAAGGGGACGACGAGAGCCTGGTCCCGTGGGTGGGATCCCTCTCATCAGATCCGGATCTATCTTCCTAGAAAAATTCCGTCGTGGGTGTCTCTGTATTTTCTTAGATTCAATGTTTAAGTTTGTATACATTTACTGAAAAAATGAATGAAAAATCAAAAAAAAAAAGTTGTGCAGTTTATATTATGATGAATTTGTTTCTTTTACTTGAAAATGATGAACCCTTATCTCCTTGCATGTCT